TTACACTCTAATACACTATAATGCTGGGTTGTTTCAACCCAACTTTGGGCCAAATATGGACTAACCCAACCGTTGGGTTACATTTTTACATTAAAATTTTAGCCCAAAAGTTGGGTTAGTCCATATTTGACCCAAAGTTGGGTTGAAACAACCCAGCATTTTTTAGAGTGTAGCTTTTGGATTAATCATATTCATATTTGTTGTGTTAGATCATTAACATGGAAGTCCTGCATTCTGAAATGGCAATTACAGTTAAAGGAAATTGTCATGTGGAATTTTTGAGAGAAATGCATGACAAATGTGAGCCTAAACAGTGTTTCTCTTTCTGTTCTCTTGCAGGGAGGAGCCTGTGCTATTCAGATGGTGGTTCAGGCTTATATTATTAAATATTTGCTCTTCAACCGGCCAATGAACTCAGAGTGCACAATGCAAAGGTGATTAATTAATTAATTAATAAAATTTTTTCCCAAGTTTATATATTTGTATGGGATATAACTATGGAAGAGGAGAAGATTTCAGATTGTCAGCCAGTAGTAACTTTTACATTTCTATCAGAAGATTTGTGACCCTGGAGCACAAAAGCAGTCTTAAGTCGCTGGGGTATATCTGTAGCAATAGCCAACAATACATTGTATGGGTCAAAATTATCGATTTTTCTTTTATGCCAAAAATCATTAGGATATTAAGTAAAGATCATGTTCCATGAAGATATTTTGTAAATTTCCTACCGTAAATATATCAAAACTTAATTTTTGATTAGTAATATGCATTGCTAAGAACTTCATTTGAACAACTTTAAAGGTGATTTTCTCAGTATTTAGATTTTTTTGCACCCTCAGATTCCAGATTTTCAAATAGTTGTATCTCAGCCAAATATTGTCCTATCCTAACAAACCATCCATCAATGGAAAGCTTATGTATTCAGCTTTCAGCTATTGAAAAATTGACCCTTATGACTGGTTTTGTGGTCCAGGGTCACATTTATGGTTGGGGTAGGAGTGGGGTTAAGGGCTCCAAAATATTGCTATTTCTATAATCTAATGTAAAAAAATTTTAACAATAATAAATAATAAGAATGTATAATGATAATATACATACAGTATATTGCAGTTGAAATCACTTGTGTCATTCAAATAAAGATTTTTGATTGGTCTGAAATGAAATGAGAATGTTGTGGTGCTGCACAGTCCACTGTATCACAGCTCCGACAGACTCTTTCTGTCTCTCGTTCTCAGTATGGTGACGGTAGGGGAGAAGGAGCAGAGGAAGGCGCTGGCAGCCGCTCTAACTGACATCTTGTGGACAGCTGGTGAGGAGCAGACAGCCACCGTCTGCTTGGTCACGTCAGAGCGCTGTTTCACCCCCCACATGGACTACAAACTGGACAACTTCACAGAGAGAGTACATGCAGTTTATGAAAACATGCTAACAAAACATGCTTAAAAAAATGTAATTGTTTAATTTCTTTTTTTTTTTTTAATTCCACAGTTGCAGCTTTTCACCTTTAAAAAGAAAGATGATGTTAGATCATTTATATGCGAGCACATCCAATGTGTAGGTACATTTAAAAACAAAAATGATGTATTATTAGGAAATACTGGCTGTATCAAACTTGCATTTATGTTGGATTAACTTTCACCTGAATGTGTGTAGTTTAAGGAAGAAGGAAGCCATGGAATCATACTTTTTCTGTATAGCCTTATCTTCTCCAGGACTATTGACAGGTAGGTCTACAGGTTTTCTTGCAAGAAAGTAGTACTTCTATTCTGCATGGAAGCATTAAATTGATCAAAAGTGACAGTAAAGACATTTACACTGTTCCAAAAAAAATAAAATAATAATAATAATAATAATAATATATATATATATATATATATATATATATGAGGGATTATGTATAATATACTAATTCTGCTTTGCCGTGACATGAATAAACTACGTTTAAATATATTAAAATAGAAAAAAGTTCATTAAATTTGTAATTTAATTGTAATTGAATCTTAAGACATAATACTACTGTTTCTGCTGTATTTGTGATCAAATAAATGCAAACAAACATTAAAAATGTTACCAACTTTTGAACACTAGTATATTTAGAAACAAATCTTTTCTAATCATTAATACTCTACATCTCTAGTGCCTGAGAACTACCTCATTATTTTAGTCAGCTTTAATTTGTAATACAGTCAATTGATAAAAGAACATGGAGCTGCAATAAGAATAAATAAAGTATTTTAATAATTTTAAAATTATTTTAGTATTTTAAATGAATTAAATGAGTGACTGAATTACGCAAGTCTCTAAATTTGTAGGATACGGGCTGACTTTGACTGTACCACCACTCATCTTTTGCATGTGAGCTTGGGGAACTCTGTTTGTCGACAGGTAAGGAAGGTTTTTTAAAAGATTTTTGTTCTTGTGATTTGTTAGTGTTTAATTGTGTCAAATTATCTCTACATTCATTAGGCTTTATTAAACCTGCTGTTGACGGGCCGTGCGACCCCTCATGTCTTCAACGGTACGTCACTGAACGATGAGCAAGACGAAGCACTCGCCCAGCCTCTCCACGGGGTCCTGACTCGCAGTCACGTCGGATATCTGCTCTGGAACAGAGAACAAGTCCACCATGCACAGCTCCCCCTGGTACTGCACCCATCCTATGTGTTTTCTGGGGGTTTCAGGGGTTTGGTCTTTCTCCGTCACTTTCTCTGAAAATTTTTCATTAGGTCAAATATAGGCAACAAATGAGTAAATGCTGTAAAAAAACAAGATACTTGAGCCACCAGTTTTGATTCTCAAGATTGCCATACTGATTTGGAGAATCTCTAGGCACTTAAAAAGAGAGAGAGAGAGAGTGTGAGAGAGAGAAAGCGGGCATATTCTCTAAGGAATCTAATGTTCAAAATGAAGCCCTTGAATTTGAAGTCACTTTAGTGCATAATAAAGACGTTTCTCAATATGCATTCTTAAGAAATCCTGCGTCCTTGTGTTCTCATACATTGTCAACATCAACTGTGGAAAATCTTTGATGCACCCATCCTATGTGTTTTCTGGGGGTTGCAGGGGTTTGGTCTTTCTCCGTCACTTTCTCTGAAAATTTTTCATTAGGTCAAATATAGGCAACAAATGAGTAAATGCTGTAAAAAAAACAAGATACTTGAGCCACCAGTTTTGATTCTCGAGATTGCCATACTGATTTGGAGAATCTCTAGGCACTTAAAAAGAGAGAGAGAGAGAGTGTGAGAGAGAGAAAGCGGGCATATTCTCTAAGGAATCTAATGTTCAAAATGAAGCCCTTGAATTTGAAGTCACTTTAGTGCATAATAAAGACGTTTCTCAATATGCATTCTTAAGAAATCCTGCGTCCTTGTGTTCTCATACATTGTCAACATCAACTGTGGAAAATCTTTGATATAATTTTCATGTTTTTTTTTTTCTTCCGCATGTTTTTGATTTATGTGATTTGTTCTAAGCTAATACCCAGAGTGAATTAATGCTTTTCTGGTTTCATTTTGTATGTCTTTACTTAAAGTGTGCTGCTGCATCGACTCCCACTTGGCTTCTTAGCTTCTGTATTACTGCACTGTAGTCTATTATATTTTGAACACATCCATGTTGTGTTGATCCTTTTTTCCTAAGGTGGGCAGTATGCTGAAAACCCCCAAGCTACCTATCTGGGTGTGCAACATCAATGGCACCTACAGTGTTTTGTTCAGCCCAAACCGTTCGCTGCTCTCTGACTGGAAGATGGAGCATCTTTTCCACCTTTACTTCTACAATGGCCAACCAACTCAGCTCAACACAACAATGCTCACCATAGGTACAGTCATTAGCTTCTGCCCACGCCTGTTGCCGCCTGCTTGTTATAATCGTGTGAACCAGACATTTCAAATGTATATATTGTATTGCTCTTTTGTATTTCAGATACACACTCCCATCACTGGGAAGCTGAAAATAATGATATTCAAGGAGACCCAGAGAAAAAGTTTCCCTCTGTAGAGATCACCATTAGGACCAAGTGGGAGGGTTCTGTTATTGACTGGAATGGGACAGTGCCTTTTTTCTGAAGAGGATTATAGCAGGTCACCTGATTTGTAGCATATCTCTCCTGGCCTGCAATAAAGAATATTTTATTGGTTTTGATTTTGGCTTGTGAACCTTAATAACATTACCTTTCACAACCTGCCCATTTGACCATTTTGGCATCTGAGCATTTAACAAAAGTGAAAACCTAAAATATGTAAACACATGGCAAAAAAGCTAGGTCTTTTCCTCGATTGTTAGAAATATATTCAAATCTGGTTTACACATGTCCCACAGATGTTTAAGTCTATTCTGGAGCTATTTCATTTTGCCTCCATACTGTTTTTGTCCTATTTAGATCCGATATGGGTTCAAATTGCTTGTATCAAGTCTCAAGACTTAATCGCTCAAGTCTCAAGTCATGATGGAAAAAGCTGATGTCTCAAGTTACAGGGTTTAATCAATTTAAGTCAAGACCGTTATTCAAAGCCTTGCAGTCTTTGATTCCTATCTGGTATAAATCATGTATGTAGTATTTTATTTTTATATTTTAATTTAATTACTGCTGCATGCCAGTATTGTTAATTAAAGAAAGGCAATACATTACAATAAGATTCAGCAAGTTAACTTTTTTTTTACAGCATTTATTAGTCTAGATTTATGTTAATTAACAAAAGTTATATTATTCATTCTGAATTTGTTATATCATCATAATTAACTGACTTGACTAAATACCATGAAGCATCACAAATATATGTAAAAATTTATATTATTAACCAATAAATACTGTAAAATTATTGTTCATGGTTATTTCATTGTTACTTTGCATTAACTAATATTAACATAGAACCATGATGTAAAGTGTTACCTAATAACTTTATCTAAAAAAAAAAATATATATTGGTCTCATGACTGTGATATTTGGTTTGTTTGTGAGAATGGGAAAACAAAACATGGTAAACTTATATTTTTATAGTTCAGAATTAAAAATAATCATGTGAATTTAGTGAGTTATGGACTACAGTGTGATTGAATGAAGATTGCTTAGATACTAAGGACTTTATAAGGATCAGTATTTTACAATTGTTTAGGAATCTAACAGGTGTTCAATGTAGAAAAGATGGATTACTGCTGATTTGATCAGATTTTCTGAAACAGGTAAAAACAACAGAGGACCTAAGACAGAGCCTTGTGGCACTTCACTTCCATCTGACCTGAAATATAAGAAAACAAATTGTCAAAATGTGCTGTAAAGGTTCTTCTTTTATGTAGTTTATTATCAAAGGCTAAATTGACATAATAGGATATACACTTTTATGACAGAATTATAGTGCATTATAGAAAAGAAATAGAAAAAATATTTTATATACTGAAATACAGATGTATAAATACAATATTACCAATAAGAACTTATAACGTCTTTCTAAAGAAGGTCGACCTTATCAGTTACATCTAACATCTAACATTCTGAACATATGTGTATTCCCTTTACAGATTTCCTCTTTTGGATGTATAATAAAATGATACATAAATGGCTCTTTTTTTAATACCCGTTGATATATAATTTCAGAATGGATATTCAAAACAGATCTGTACTTTTATGGTATGCAAAAGCATTTCAATATTATAACATTTAAGATGAACCTTGACTATAAGAGCCAGAACAAACAAAGTATAACAAAGTAAAAAAAAAAAAAAACAGCTTCTTAAGTGCCGCTGTCATGCTCAGTGGCTCTATCATGGCAGTCGAATCACAGTTTCTTTTACATTAATCTCTGTGCTAACGGATTGGTAACAAAAGCTCTAACAGAAATCTCACAGCATTTGAATGATAACTGGTATGGATTTGGGGGTACTGTGTGGTGGATTTAAAACACTGAAGCCATGAACATTAAACTGTACAACATGTTAGTAGATGGTATGAAGGATCAACCCAACAATATAATAGAACATATACATTTGTTTTCCACACAAATAGAGGGATAATAAAATAATAAAATGAACAGGCCTTTCACGTCAGGCTGCTAATACAGTCAGTTCAAACTAAATTCTCATGCTTTGAATCTATTTTACGAATGTCCACCTAGAATTTCCTCCAGGTTGATGTCTTTCATCCAGTCATCAGTGCCTGAACCTGATTTGAGCAGGGAGTCAATGAAATCTGAGTCTGCATTTATCCCTGGTACCGTGTTATCATCCTCTGGTAAGAAATCAAAGGTCAATCGGCCTGCCTGGTTGTTCTGATAAGTTGCTGGGCTTTGGCTCAGCTCTCCAAATGTGGTCGGACAGCCCTGCTGTTCGGGGGACGACTGTGTCAGGCAAGTCACCCCAGGTAGAGGGGGTATCCTAGGCTGACTGGCTCTGGGAGCAGAGCTTCTGATTGCAGGGTTTATGGGTAGCAGACTAGAATGAGGTGCCACCTGGTTAGGTGGACAAATAGACCTCGGAGGAAAATGAATGTCACTTTGGGGCATCACTGTATTGGGGAGCATTTTGACATCTAGTCCTGTTGGAGCTCCGCTCTGTTTGGCGCTGTTCGCCCAGTTCAAAGCAGTGTCCATCCTGCTGGTATTGGTGATCATGTCACCCAATCTTTGCCCCAGCAGGGAATCTTGACTGATGCTCGTCCTCACATGCTGAGTGCTCGATTGAAAAGGGGCACTCTGGCTGTTTGTCCCATGGAACTGCGGCTTGTTTTGCTGAAGCCCTATTCGGATCAGGCTGCTGGGTTGCTGTCGGAGCTGGTTTGCGCAAGCTTGAGCACCTGTGGGTCCTGAATTACGGTCTTGTCCAAGTGGAAACCTTCTCTCTACTGACGTGGGCACCATCTTGGTACCCTGTCCATTAAGCAGGTGGCATGACAAGGGTTGGATGTCACTTTGGTCTGACCCATTGCCTGTTGCATATTCATAAAAATGATCTGTGATGTAAAATACTGATTTACCAAGCAGTAGCGTACTGATAATGACTAATATCGAAGTCAAGATTTGGTGTGGTTGCTTAAAGGAGTCATATGACGCGATTTCATGTTTTGCTTTGCCTTTGGAATGTTACAAGCTGTCCGTGCATATATAAGATCTGTAAAGTCGAAAGATTAAAGTCTCAAACCCAAAGAGGTATTTTTTCTAACAGTTAAGACTCATCCACACCTTCCTAAAACACCTCATTCAAACACGCCCCCACAAATCTACATCAGTGTGCGAAGATTTGCATAACATCGCCCAAATGTATACGCAAAGAAAGAAGTTGTAACTTTTATTCTCGCTGTAGTATAGATGCCGCCATCACCATGTCGTGGAGATGCTGTGTGTTTCCAAATATGGTAAGGGGCGTAACATTTCCATCACGTCCTTGAGGTATTCAGCCAATCACAACGCACTGGATAGCTGGCCAATCATTTCAGATAGGCAGGGCAGAAAGGTGTAACAATAATGTACGGTATGTGGAAAATAATGTGTTTTCTGAAGCTTAAACCACGTAAACACATTGCATTATACCAAATACACAAAATAATATTCTTTTTAGCAACATCATATGACCCCTTTAATCCAAACCTAGGTTCAATTAATCGTACCACATCATCAGTGTGAGTATAATTCATTAACTTCATTAAAATGTAGTTCAATCATGACAACTCTGAATAGTTTTAGCATGTTGATGCATTTAACGTTAATGTATTTCAGGGGTTCTCAACTCTGGCCCTCTGGGTCCATTTTCCAGCAGAGTTTAGCTCCAACCCTAATCAAACACACCTGAACAAGCTAATCAGGGCCTTCAGGATTACTAGAAAGTTACTGACAGGCCGGTTTGATCAAGGTTGAAGCTAAACTCTGCAGGAAAGTGAACACTGAGGGTCAGAGTTGAGAACCCCTGATGTATTTTGTCAGACTAGATCTACTACGCATCCTGCTGCTGCTAAGCCAGTACGGACTTGCTGTAGACAGGTGGAGCTGGAAGGTTTTAGAGGAATTCTGATAGCGTGCTGCAGGAAGAGCTTAGGGTGAACACAGCAACAGCCTATTTAAATGCTGAGCAAGAAATCTCATTGGCTACAGAATCAGCAGAGGCCAATCAGCATGCGTAGTACATTTATGTGATTGAACAGATTGCATGTGAAGGTCCTATCAGTCCGTGCCATCTAGAGTTTCATGACTGAACTAGATATTACATTCCCATATTATAGGACAATGAAAATACATTCCACACCTGCATATAAGCTTGGCTGTTGAGCTCCAACTCCATTGCGAGGTTGTTTGTAGTCTGGTGGAGGTCGTGTTAGATGACGACTGAACTTATCCTGTGTGCTCAGTTTCTCCTGAAAAATGTACAGCAAAAGCACATTGTTGTAGTTTAGGAATAAAAGTTCCATAGATTACAATTGGCCAAAATGTGAGTGGTCAATCACAGGGGTGCCGCTATGATATATATCAATCAATCAATCAATCAATCAATCAAAGCAGGGTCCAGTAGTAACCTACTTTGTATAATCTGTCATACATGTATGGCATCTTGTCACGCAATGCTAAATGAACAGTGGTAGAGATTCAATAGAGTTTTGTGGCCATGACTTTAAGGTATGTGCCCATACAGAAATTGACTTTATTGAAAAATAAACTTACCCTTAGACAAATGTGTGACACTTAAGTAGATTAAAGCTAATTCTCTTTCTGTGAGCTATAAAATTAATTTACCTATCAGAAAACATTTATAAAACCACCGTATTTAGGCAAGAAGCAACGGCAGCACTCACTGTATCAGGGATATTGAGCTGCGGTTGACCCAGTGGTCTTTGAAGGTTCTGGTCCTGGCCTGGGTTCTTCTGCTGAGAACTGAGAACCGGAGGCCTCTGCTGTTGGGTCTGGCCTGTTACATCTACAGGATGCCCATTCGCTGGTAAACGAGGTCCTGGCGAAATTCCCTACAAATGGAAAGCGTGTTATTATTATAACTCACATTTAAATGGCACATCAATAAATGTCACACCAGCTACTGCATTCCATCCTGCTGTGATTGAACAATCAGTCCACTAGAGGGCAAGCTTTGTTTACAGTCAATCTGATGTTACACAGTCCCTGTTCACATGTGACTTCCTGTGCTTGGTGATAGGGATTTTCCATAGCCTTTCCCACACTGTTCTATCACATAGAGAAAACACATCCATGGCTATATCCATAATGGGGACGTAATGGTACCTAAGGGAGAACAAATTAGTCAGAAATTGTCAAAACATCCTGTCATTTTAATATGCCTGTAGTGACACATGCACTGTAAATAAATGCTTGCTCTAATATTATGTAGAAAGCACTGTCTTACAGACTGTTGTTTAAACACTTACAGTTTTTTATTAGAAACATTTATTAGAAACCCTAGTCAATGAGGCTCT